ATAGCTTGCACATCTTCCGGCGCAAACTGAAAACTCATCTCTTTCGACTCCACTTCGAGCGTTAGAACTATTAACGAAGCACTTTTATACTAATAAAGGGCTGGCTTACCTAAAGCCAGTTGAGTAGCACTTGAAATGTTTGGCTCTATGAAACCTGATGTACTTTATGATTCTGTTTTCTTCAAGGTTGTGTCTTCCTGGTCGAATGTACTTATTGTAAGTCGCTTTGGATAAAAGCGTCAGCTAATGCAATGTAATGTAATGATGTAATGTACTGTGTAAAAACACGCTAAACAATATTACAAGAAATATACTGCATAAAGCAAACTATATACTTTATTTGATCTAAAATATTGATGTTTTTTCATTATAGTAGCTTGTGAAAACCATACAGTAACAAATAAGTGATTAAATACTACAGTATTCAGCAAACACAACTGCAGAGCTGCATACATTGCAAACAGTTGTCTTTGTGTATTTTGTGAATGAAGCGCCATCTCATGGTTAAATCCTGTAATTGAACAAATGGGGAAATTGGGCAACGCCCCCTAGCAATTTGGCAACACCCCCAGCCGCTGGCATCCGCTGGGCTTTTGACTGGGACACACCCACCTGAGTCTGATCTGGAGTGCTTCATCTGTAGGGGTTGGGACACTTTTTCACACCTACATTTCATTGCCAACTATTTCTGTTTCGGGCCTGAAATTGTTCTTGTCATTTTTTACATTTAAGTTATTCGTATTCATATTCTGTGAACAAAGTATTATATTTTGTTAATAAGAGTCCCTGTCTTTGCAAATTGAAACTGCTCTGCTTGCTAACTTTTTATTTGTTGTTACAATACTTACTATAGGGATGACTACATCATTATTAAAGCTAATTAACTATAGATATACTATAAGATCACCATAGCCAACTCTATAGTATTACTATAGTAATTTTCTATAGTGTGTTCCGAAAAACCATAGAAATACTACAGGAAACACTATAGTATTACTAACTTCACTATAACATCACCCACACACACCACACACACACACACACACACACACCACACACAACACACACACACACACACACACACACACACACACACACACACACACAGCACACACCGACACACACACACACACACCACCACACACACACACCACACACACACACTACACACAGCACCACACGACACACACACACCACACACCACATCACCAGACACACACACACATCACACACACACACACGCACACACACACACACATATTTTATTTTCATATCATATATTCTTGCCTTTTATCCAGCGTCAAGGGACGTTTTGAGGTCAGGTAGCCATATATTTGTTTTGGTCTGATTAGGGATGTCAACCGGCGACTCTACGTTCGCAAGACCAAGTCCCAGACTGAGCCACTGCCACTATTGCTATCAGTATTGGTGTTGTTGTTGTTGTTGTTGTTGTTGTTGTTGTTGTTGTTGTTTATTGTTGTTATTAATCACTCAGTGTTTAAAGTGTGTCTCATCAGCCCGCTCAGAGAGTCAAGAGACGTTTGGGGTGAAGATGTTGGCTGAGCCTCTGACAGGAAGTGCTCTGCTGTCGTACTTCCTGTCTGACGGACAGCAGAAACCAATGAACAGAGAAGTGCTGGACTCTCCACTCATTAACGCACTTCCTGTTGAACGCAGGTGTGAGGTGGACTCTGTCACACACTCTCTCTGAACACATTCTAAATCATTCAGATACACTTTAATAATAACTGTAAGGTATTATAATGAACTGCTCAGAAGACGACGAACAAGGTTTATTCAGAAAAAGGTATATAATAAATATATATATTATATATAGTTAATATAAGTTAATATTCTGCAGTATATATACATGATATTATTTATTATAATAGTGATGCAATCATCCGGGTCTAATTATTATTGATATTATTAATAAATACATTATAATGATCAATTCTTTATTTATTATTATTCTTTTTTTTTCCCTTTTAATTATTTTTTATAAAATAATATACTATTATTTTATTTTAATTTGACTATCCTTTATATATTTGTGTATCTCTTCTCCATCTAGTTATCAGTATACAGATGTTACTTTTTCATAAGACCAACATTATTTTAAACAAACACTAAAGAGTTTATCACCGACGTCAGAAATAAGTGTTTTGATCTTATTATATTTTAGGTATAGATTGTACCCCCTAACATGTCCCAGATTCTCCTGTTTGATAAAAAGTGTATCTAGAAAAAGAGAAACTTTGATGATTTTAAATGATAAAGAAATAAAAGCAGATTTCAGAATAACTGAGAAGTCTTAGTATTTTATCTTCGGTACATAATTTAAAATGCTGTAAAACATGTTCATAATCATATAACATCCTATGATGAAGAGTCTTTAGCTGTTCCTGATATCACCATGAAGACCCCCCAATATTAGTTATATTAAAGTTTTCTGACATGTAATGTTTGAATATGCTCCTGATGCATTACGTGCTGCTAACTTTGGGATACATCTGTACACACAAGCAGCAGTGAGCGAGGGTTTCTCTCCTTCACAGAGATCTGCTGAATCTGTCTTCTCTCAGAATAAAAATACTTTTGTTGATGTACTTACAGCGGGAGGCGAGCAGGACCAGCAGCAGCATCAGAGCGTCCATGTTTCTGCAGCTCCAGACCAGCAGGGAAGTGCTCCTATTGGACAGGAAGCAGAGAGTCACTTCCTGCTATTCAACACACCGGCATTCTCCAAACACCAGAGCCATCACCGCGCTGAACAGGAATAACCTGTAGAAGAAGAACAGGAATAAACCTGTAGAAGAAGAACAGGAATAACCTGTAGAAGAAGAACAGGGATAGACCTGTAGAAGAAGAACAGGAATAACCTGGAGAAGAAGAACAGGAATAACATGTAGAAGAAGAACAGGAATAAACCTGTAGAAGAAGAACAGGAATAACCTGGAGAAGAAGAACAGGAATAACCTGTAGAAGAAGAACAGGAATAAACCTGAAGAAGAAGAACAGGAATAACCTGTAGAAGAAGAACAGGGATAGACCTGTAGAAGAAGAACAGGAATAGGGTCTCAGTCAGTAGGGGCTTGGGCTGTAAGCCGTAGGGTCCCCGGTTCAAGCCCCCGGACAGACCTAAAATATAGAGTGTGGACTGCTACTTGGTGAGGTCCCAGTTCACCTCCTGGGCCCTGCCCTTGTGCCCCTGAGCAAGGCACCGGACACCCCCCATCCCTCACTCCCATTGCTTCACGGACGCTGTGCAATAGCTGCCCACTGCTCACACACACACACACACACACACACACACACACACACACACACACACACACACACACACACACACACACACACACACACACACACACACACACACACACACACACACACACACACACACACACACACACAGTCCTTGGTTTCAGGAAGACTCCTCTTCCTCTGCACACAGACATTTCCTCAAACCCTGAACACACCCTGACCTCTGGGAGAATGGAGCGCCCACCGAGCAGGATCAACACACACACACACACACACACACACACACACACACACACACACACACACACACACACACACACACACACACACACACACACACACACACACACACACACACACATATTAATGGTTTCTATGCTCCAGAACAATCAGTATACATAATAAGGTGACAGTATTCCCGTACATAATTAGTAATTGGATTACTTCTTTTAAAAATGGTGGATTACCAGCAGGATGACAGTGTTGTAGCACTTTATTATTTTATATATATACACTATATAGACAAATGTATTGGGACACCCCTCTGAATCATTGAATTCAGTCCCATTGCCACAGATGTATCAAATAAAACACCATGCAGTCTGCCTTTACAAACATCTCTGAAAGAAAGGCTCGTTCTGAAGATTGGTTCTGAAACAGGATGTCAGTTCATTTCTTCTTTTTCTCTCCTAGATATTCCACCATCAACTGTAAGTGGTATTGTTGCCCAATGCAAGCCTTACATCACCGAGCACAATGCCAAGCGTCGGATGAAGGGGTGTAAAGCCACCTCTGGACTCTAGAGCAGAGGAAACGTGTTCTGTGGACCAATCACGCTTCTCTATCAGTCTGATGAGTCTGGGTTTGTTGAATGCCAGGAGAACGTTACCTGCCTGACTGCATTGTGCCAACTGTAACGTTTGATGGAGGAGGGATAATGCTATGGTTGTTTTTCTGAGGTTGGCCTCTGCCCCTTAGCTCCAGTGAAGGGATTCTTCATGCTTCATCTTACCAATTCATTTTGGACAATTCCATGCTTCCTACTTTGTGGAAACAGTTTGGGGAAGAAGAACCTTTTTCTTCCAGCATGACTGAGTCTCACAAAGCAGGTCCATGAAGGCCTGGTGGAGGAGTCTGGAGGAAGAACCAGACCTGCACCCACTGAACTCCAACCCATGGCCGTCACACAGAGACACGCCAACATCTTTTAGAACGCCTTCCCAGAAGAGTGGAAGCTGTTAAAGCTGCAAAGGGCATTCACATGAATGCCTAAGAATCTAGAATGGGATGTCATAAAAGCTCCTGTGGGTGTCATGTGTAAGTGGCCCAATACTTTTGTCTATATGTAAATATAATAGTATAGTAATACTGGAAGTGTGAATCTGCTTCATCGATTTCAATTCCTTTGGTTCGTTTATTATTTTTTTTATAGGTTTTTCTCAAAATGTGACTTTCTTTTTTAATCGAAATTAACTTTTTCCTCATAATTTGACTTGCTATAATTTGACTTGATATATGATCGATGGCTGATTGATATAATTTGATATATCCACCTGAACATCAGCAGGGCCGTTTTCAGCTTTCTGCTGAACGACGCCCAGAGACTTCAAATACTCATGAGTAAAAATAATCAGTATTTATTGTGTTGGTGTGTCTTTAACTTAGAGGAGGTTAACTCCACCCGCCTGTTCCTCCCGTGTCATAAAACAGCCTCACTTTCACTTCCTCTTATTTGTTTTTCTCTGCTGCAGCTTCCTGCTTTCTGCCCGTCCGTCACACTCTGGAAAATAGATTTAATGTACTTTATATATAGTATACTTTATATGTAATGTACTTTATATATAACATACTTTATATTTAATGTACTTTATATTTAATATACTTTATATTTAATATACTGTGTGTGTGTTTTCAGGACAGAGTGTTTGATAATCTTCTCTGGAGCTTTCCTTCAGCACGCTGAGCTGCAGGAAGGTGAGCGTTTGTTTCACTGACATTAAGACATTTAATATTATATTATATTCTCTTATATCACGTATTAATATGTATTAATATGAAATATTCCTCTGGTGTTTTGTACGCAGCTGATGTGAGATGGCAGAAACCAACCTGATGTCTGCAGCTTCTGGTACTTTATATACAACCATTATACCGTACTGTCCCTGAACGCACCATGGTGTTTTCTTCACCCAGCATTATTAAAATATTTACCGTACTGTCCCTGAACGCACCATGGTGTTTTCGTCACCCAGCATTATTAATATATTTACCGTACTGTCCCTGAACGCACCATGTTGTTTTTCTTCACCCATGTTTATTAATATATTTACCGTACAGTCCCTGAATGCACCGTGGTGTTTTTCTTCACCCAGCATAAAATAGATAAATCAGATGCTAAACTAAATGATATAAAAGGTTATTATTACTCTTAAAACTTATTAAAACTGAGATATTATTTTGTAGTCCCATAAACAACACCCACTGTTTATATATATCTGTGTGTGTGGCCTAGCATTACTATACTTGTGGGAACCTAAATCTGTTTACACAGTCACGTGTGGGGACTCGCCTCCCTAATGGGACAAAATGGAGGTCCCCATAAGGGGAATCATTCATTGTAGGGTGAAGACTTGGTCAGGTTTAGGGTAAGGGTTAGGGTAAGGGTTACGCATGTGTTGGTTATGTTAAGGTTAGGATAAGTCTCCAGGAAATGCATGTAAGTCAATGTAATGTCCCCTGAAGTGATGTATACATGGTATGTGTGTGTGTGTGTGTGTGTGTGTGTGTGTGTGTGTGTAGCTCTCACGACGAAGCAGCTGCAGCAGAAATTGTCATCAGAGAAGAAGAGCGAGCATCCGGTCCTCCTGCTGTTTGAGATCCCGTCCACTCGAGTTGTTGAGAACCAGCTGTCCAAATACGTGGTGACTTATTTATAATTATTTTTTAAATAATATTTTCATTGGGAGACCCTAACCCTAACCTGAACTCCACCAACAATGTAACATATCATTTATATATAATATAAGACATGAACAATAAAACAAATAAAACAATTAAAATAAAATAGATTATGTTGGACACCAATGTGCAATTAATGCAGGATGAGATGAAGTAATTTCTATTTACTCATTTTATTCATTTTTTTACTTAAATAACAAATAACATACACTGAACAAAAATATAAACGCAACACTTATGTTTTTGCTCCCATTTTTCATGAGATGAACTCAAAGATCTAAAACATTTTCTATATACACAAAATAACCATTTCTCTCAAATATTGTTCACAAATCTGAAAAAATGTGTGATAGTGAGCACTTCTCCTTTGCCGAGATAATCCATCCCACCTCACAGGTGTGGCATATCAAGATGCTGATTAGACAGCATGATTATTGCACAGGTGTGCCTTAGGCTGGCCACAATAAAAGGCCACTCTGAAACGTGCAGCTTTGCTTTATTGGGGGAGTCTGGGGGGGTCCGAAAACCAGGCAGTATCTGGTGTGAGGGGTAGGGGTAGGGTTAGGGCCCATGGTGGTGGTGGGGTTATGGTATGGGCAGGCGTATGTTATGGACGACGAACACAGGCCACTCGATTCACAACATTACCCTAACCCTAACCCTACCCCTACCCCTGTTTTATAATTTTAAAATGTATATATGTGTATGTTTTTATCTGATAATGATCAAAGCCACATGAGGAGGGACGCTTTTATTTGTTTATTTATATTTATTTTAAATTATTATATTACCTGGAGGCCAGAAAACCACCCGCAGGGGGGAACTCTTCACCTACCTGCTACCCTTTTAAAATAAACAGAGCCAAAAAAACACCTGCCCTTTGGAATCTTTTAGACTTACCCGACCTTGATTTTAGTGGTTTTTGTTTTTCAGTGACATCCAGTTCATTTTATACGATTTTGCTAACCCGGTGTGCTTTTATTTATTTATTTTTAGTTAATTTGAACACTCCCTTTACTTTTTAAATTAACATTACTGGGGAGATTGTTTTAATTATTTGTATCTTTACCATTGCACTTGTCTTTTAACTGCACTTACACTTCTATGCATGGCTTTTACTAATAGAACTGGAATCACTTTTAAATTGGCCATTTTAGATCCCCCTCTCATTTAGGGTATTTTATAGAGTCCATTGGGACAAGCTCTATACACACACACACACACCACACACACACACAACACACACACACACCACACACACAACACACACACACACACACACACACACACACACACACACACACACACACACACACACACACACACACACACACACACACACACACACACACACAACACACACACACACACACACACACACACACACACAACACACACATCACACACACACACACACACACACACACACACACACACACACACACACACACACACACCACACACACACACACACACACACACACACACACACACACACACACCACACACACCACACACACACACACACACACACACACACACACACACACACACACACACAGCACACACACACACACAACACACACACACACACCTCCAGATCCTGGGACGGGGAGATCTGCTTTTTGATACACTCTGCCGCCGTTCCTTGGTCCGGCTCCGCTCTGCACTTTTTAACCATTCGTTCGAAATGATCTTGTCCTCACTGAGCTTTTATGATGCTTTTAAAAGGGTTATTATAAGGTTTATGTTTACGGAGGTCTTTAAAATGTTTTTAAACATCTATCTACCGAGATAGATGTTTAGTGCATCTATCTCGGTAGATGCTCCTCCGGAGCCCTGCGCTCTTCCCCAACCTAATCCTACCCCTCACACCAGATACTGACTGGTTTTCGGACCCCCCCAGACCCCCCCAATAAAGCAAAACTGCACGTTTCAGAGTGGCCTTTTATTGTGGCCAGCCTAAGGCACACCTGTTCAATAATCATGCTGTCTAATCAGCATCTTGATATGCCACACCTGTGAGGTGGGATGGATTATCTCGGCAAAGGAGAAGTGCTCACTATCACAGATGTTTTCAGAATTGTGAACAATATTTGAGAGAAATGGTTATTTTGTGTATATAGAAAATGTTTTAGATCTTTGAGTTCATCTCATGAAAAATGGGAGCAAAAACAAAAGTGTTGCGTTTATATTTTTGTTCAGTGTATATTCAATATATTTTATTTACATTCATTATTATTATTTAAAAATTCTTTAAGAAATGTATTCATTAATTTCTTTTGGTCTGGTTAAGTCACAGGAGTGCCATAGAGATATCAAATATGTAAAAGTAAAATGATCCTAATATCTGTTTTTATTTCATGTATTATTTCTATTTGTATATGTATTGTGGGTGTTCCTGATGTGAGACGATGCGTGCAGGTGTATGAGGTGGTGGTGATGTTGTCGGGCAGTTTTGATTCCCGCCGTGTGTCCGTGGAGCGCCGTTACTCCGACTTCCTGCGGCTGCAGCGCCTCCTCCTGCAGGAGTTCGACTCGGCGCTGGAAGACGTGTCGCCCCCCCCCAAACTCCTGAGCGGGAACTTCTGCGCCGCCGTGCTGTTGCAGCGCCGCCTCGCCCTGCAGGACTACCTGGCCAAACTCTTCTCGACGCGCTGCGTCCGCCGCTCGCCTCTGTTCGCTGCCTTCTTCACGGACGCCGAGCAGCGGGGGGCGCTGGTGCTGCTGCGGGGGGGGCAGTTCAGCCCGGCGCTGAGGCAGCTAGAAGACGTGTTAGCGCTGCAGGTACAAAGGTTTATTACAAGATTAACCCTCAGGTCTGCTTTTTGTCCCCAGAACCAGAACCCTCAGGTCTGTTTTCTGTCCCCAGAACCAGAACCCTCAGGTCTGTTTTCTGTCCCCAGAACCAGAACCCTCAGGTCTGTTTTCTGTCCCTAGAACCCTCAGGTCTGATTTCTGTCCCCAGAACCATATCTCTCAGGTCTTCTGGTCTGCTTTCGGTCCCATGTGAGAACTAAACATGGAGAAGTGCAGTTATTATGCTCCATACATGTGGAACAAACTGAGTTGAGTTATACTGCTCTTAATGTTTTCATAGTTGTAAAGTGGGTGTGTTGCAGGAGAAGTTGCAGTGTTGGCAGAGTCCCGCCCTCCGCCTGCCAACGCTCTGCGCCCTGGCTGTCTGTCACTGCGACCTGCAGCAGCATCAGGAGGCGTTGGATGCGGCTCAGAGGGCGCTGCCTGTTGCCCCGGCGCTGCGGCCTGCGGAGCCACCGGGCGGCGCTGCTGCGCCTCCTGATGGACCTGAGCTACCGGCTGGGGCTGCCCGGGGCCCGCCTGCAGGACGAGCTACAGGGCCTGCAGGACCAACCCCCCACCCTTAAATACGACCCCCCTACCCTGAAGGAGCTGGTCATCCAACAGTTCACCTGAGGGGCTAAACATGTGAGACGAGATACAGAGCAAAGGAGTCCTCAACAAGACTCAGCGTTATGAGTCCTAAACCCTGACATGAGTCAGCATTATGAGTCCTGAACCCTGACCTGAGTCAGCATTGTGAGTCCTGAGCCCTGACCTGAGTCAGCATTATGAGTCCTGAACCCTGACCTGAGTCAGCATGATGAGTCCTGAACCCTGACTTGAGTCAGCATTATGAGTCCTGAACCCTGACATGAGTCAGCGTTATGAGTCCTGAACATGACATGAGTCAGCATTATGAGTCCTGGACCCTGACATGAGTCAGCATTATGAGTCCTGAACCCTGACCTGAGTCAGCATGATGAGTCCTGAACCCTGACCTGAGTGAGCATTATGAGTCCTGAACCCTGACATGAGTCAGCGTTATGAGTCCTGAACCTGACATGAGTCATCATTATGAGTCCTGAACCCTGACATGAGTCAGCATTATGAGTCCTGAACCCTGACATGAGTCAGCATTATGAGTCCTGAACCCTGACCTGAGTCAGCGTTATGAGTCCTGAACACTGACATGAGTCAGCGTTATGAGTTCTGAATCTGACATGAGTCAGGATTATGAGTCCTGAACCCTGACCTGAGTCAGCATTAAGAGTCCTAAACCCTGACCTGAGTCAGCATTATGAGTCCTGAACCCTGACCTGAGTCAGCATTATGAGTCATGAACCCTGACCTGAGTCAGCATTATGAGTCATTAACCCTGACATGAGTCAGCATTATGAGTCCTGAACCCTGACCTGAGTCAGCATTATGAGTCCTGAACCTTGACCTGAGTCAGCATTATGAGTCCTGAACCCTGACATGAGTCAGCATTATGAGTCCGAAACCTGACATGAGTCAGCATTACATTACATTGCATTGCATTTAGCTGACGCTTTTATCCAAAGCGACTTACAATAAGTGCGTTTGACCAACAAAATACAACTTGAAGAAAACAGAATCATATAAGTACATCAGGTTTCATAGAGCCAAACATTTCAAGTGCTACTCAACTGGCTTTAGATAAGCCAGTCCTTTATTAGTATAAAAGTGCTTCGTTAATAGTTCTATCGCTCGAAGTGGAGTCGAAAGAGATGAGTTTTCAGTTTGCGCCGGAAGATGTGCAAGCTATCTGCCGTCCTGATGTCAATGGGGAGCTCATTCCACCATCCTGGAGCCAGGACAGCAAACCCACGTGTTTTCGCCGATGGGAACTTGGGTCCCCCTCGCAGCGAGGGCGCAGCGAGTCGTTTGGCTGATGCAGAGCGTAGTGCACGCGCTGGGGTGTACGGTTTTAACCATGTCCTGGATGTACGAAGGGCCAGATCCATTCGCAGCATGGTAAGCAAGTATCAGTGTCTTGAAGTGGATTCTAGTAGTTACCTGAAGCCAGTGAAGGGAGCGGAGGAGCGGAGTAGTGTGGGAAAATATAGGAAGGTTGAAGACCAGACGAGCCGCTGCATTCTGGATGAGCTGCAGAGGTCGGATGGCACATGCAGGTAGACCAGCCAGGAGGGAGTTGCAGTAGTCTAGGCGTGAGATGACGAGAGCCTGGACCAGAACCTGAGTCGCTTTCTGTGTCAGCTGGGGACGTATCTTCCTGATGTTGTAAAGCGTGTATCTGCAGCAACGGGTTGTAGCAGCGATGTTTGCAGTGAAGGACAGGTTGTTATCTAGGGTCACACCCAGATTCCTTGCAGTCTCAGTCGGGGAAACAACTGAGGTGCCGATGTTGATTGTTAGGTCAAGAGTGGGACAATCTTTTCCCGGAAGGAAGAGCAGCTCAGTCTTGTCAAGGTTGAGATTGAGGTGATGAGCAGACATCTACTGAGAGATGTCAGCTAGACAAGCAGAGATGCGTACGACGACCTGGGTCTCTGAGCGGGGAAAGGACATAATTAATTGGGTGTCGTCAGCGTAGCAGTGGTAAGAAAAACCATGCGGGCTAATGACTGATCCGAGCGAGTTTGTGTACAGGGAGAAGAGGAGGGGACCAAGAACAGAGCCCTGAGGGACCCCTGTAGTTAATTGACAAGGGTCGGACTCAGACCCTCTCCAAGTCACCCTGTAGGTACGGTCTTTCAGGTATGAGGTGAGGAGGGAAAGTGCAGAGCCTAAAACTCCAAGTTTTTGGAGAGTGCGAAGGAGGATCTGATGATTCACCGTGTCGAATGCAGCAGACAGGTCCAACAGGATGATTACAGAGGAGAGCGAGGCTGCTTTAGCAGTGTGCAGTTCCTCCGTGACAGCAATGAGAGCAGTTTCTGTGGAGTGACCTGCCTTGAAACCAGACTGGTGCGGATCCAAAAGATTGTTCTGATGGAGATAACAGGAGAGTTGTTTAAAGGCAGTGCGTTCAAGTGATTTAGACAGGAACGGGAGGAGAGAGACAGGCCTGTAATTTATAACATCAAAGGGGTTGAGAGTGGGTTTCTTTAGGAGAGGGTTTACTCTTGCCTCCTTGAGACTGTTTGGAAAGTGACCAGAAGTTAGAGAAGTGTTGATGAAGTGGGTGAGAAACGGTAGAATATCAGGAGCGATAGTCTGAAGGAGGTTTGAAGGGATAGGGTCCAGAGGACAGGTGGTAGGGCGGGCAGAGGTAATGAGGGTAAGAACCTCACTTGGAGAGAGAGGGGAAAAGGAGGTCAGTGTGTGGGTGAAAGGAGGGTCTGGTGACCCAGCGGTGAGCAAAGGGGAGTCAGAAAAAGAAGAGCGAATATCATCAACCTTTTTTTCAAAGTGGTTAACAAAGTCGCTTAACAGAAGGGAGGAGGGGGAAGGGGCTTTGGGGGGGTCCAGGAGGGAGGAGAAGATGGAAATTAGTTTTTTGGGATTGGAATAGGAAGATTGGATCTTATCTTGAAAGAAAGTGCTTTTTGCCTGAGAGATCGAAGCAGAGAAAGAGGAGAGGAGAGCCTGATAGGTTAGGAGGTCGTCACAGTGTTTGGATTTCCACCGTTTCCGCTCTGCTGCCCTAAGGACGGTTCTATTAGCACGCAGTGCATCATTTAGCCAGGGAGCAGGAGGGGACTGACGAGCCTGCCGAGATGTGAGAGGACAGAGCGAGTCCAGAGTGGATGAGAGAGTAGAGAGGAGAGTTTCTGCAGCAGAGTTTGGAGGCAGGAGTTGAAACGAGTCAGAGGAAGGGAGGGCTGAGAGCACCGACGAGGCAAAGGTAGAGGGGGAGAGGGAGCGAAGGTTACGGCGGACAAGTGCAGGATGAGAAGAGATTAGTTTGTTATGTTTGGAAAGGGGTAGAGAGAATGAAATGAAGAAGCGATCGGATGTGTGGAGCGGGTTTACAGAGAGGTTAGAAGTAGAGCAGTTCCTTGAGAATATGAGATCAAGGACATTGCCAGCTTTATGAGTCGGTGGGGACGGAGACAGTGAGAAAGCAAAGGCGGTTAACAGAGATGTTAGTTCGTCTATCTTCCCCGTCTGGAGGTTGAAGTCTCCGAGAAGTACAGCGGGAGGGCCAGTTTCAGGGATGAGTGAGAGGAGATTATCTAATTCCTCCAAGAAGTCCCCCAAGGCGCCTGGTGGACGGTAGAGAACAACAATGGTTCATTGTATAGGATGGGTTACTGTGACGGCATGGAATTCAAAGGTGGAAGGAGTGAAGTTAGGTAGCTTGAAGAGGGAAAAGCTAACCCTAACCATTTGGGAGAGAGCAGGAGACCAGTGCCACCTCCTCTGCCAGTGGGTCTGGGTGTATGGGAGAAGGAATATGCTGTGGAGAGAGCTGCTGGGGTGGATGTGTTGGATGGAGTAATCCAGGTCTCAGTGAGTGCAAGGAAATCCAGGGTCTGCAGGGAGGCGTAGCCAGAGATGAAGTCAGCCTTAGGAACAGCTGACTGGCAGTTCCACAGGCCGCCTGAAACTAGATGTTGGATCTCAGTGGAGCACGTGGGATAGACGAGAGCAGGCCGGTTATATGGATTAGGAGATACACGGGGCCAGTGATAATTGCGAGAAGACACATGAACAGGAATGGAGAAAATACACATGATTATAGCCTCTACTTTGTTTCCTCCTTATCTTTCTTACAGTGCAGACGCTTTTCTGCTTGCTCTTGCCTCTGCTTACTTTTTATGCTGATTTTCCTATTCTTATTCTCTGAAAACTTCGAGCAGCGGCTCCTGGACATTAACTTATCACTGGGACAGTTCATCTTCGTAAATAGACGGAGGGTTTCAGCCATATTTCAACATTTTTACGACGACGTCAGTCTTACAATAGCGTGGCCTAGCAACAGCTAAAGCCTGGTAGGCTACTGCTATTTAGCTTAAGCTAGTTGGTAGCAAAATGCCTCCGTTCTCTACAGATGACTTCCAGAAACTTATACAGAAGATGGCTGTGTTGGAAATGAAAATGCAACGGTTGGAAGTTAACGTGGAAGTGAATGGACTATGTCGTGGGAATGTGAACCGGGTAATAAATCTACAAGTGATAGTCCTCCCTGGAACTCTCTGGGTGCAAAGCCTAAGAGTAAATCACTTCCATGGGATTTGGGAGGACGGATAACAGGCAGAGCCCAGAGCTCCGAAATCTGTGATGCTACCGGCTGGCCTGCATTGTTATCACCCAGGAAGAGCGCCTCTTCAACCCCTATTCATACTAGGAAACAGCAGTGGACAGCTGCTAAAGGGAGAATTACAAACAATCCTCCTAAACCACCAAGTGTGCCAATCCAGAACAGATACGCTCCGCTGACCGAGAACCGGAGATCTGATGACCTGGATAACCTGTCCTCTTCACGCAGCAGGGTAAGGACCAATAGCTACTCTAAAAGTAAAAGGCTAGAGGGAAAGCTAACGACTGGGCCTGAAACTCTGATTGTGGGTGACTCTGCTGTAAGAGATGTAAAAGGTCTGTGTAATAAGAACAACACCAAAGTACTCTGTTTTCCCAAGGATGTGGTCTCTGACTTGGCTGAGAAGATCCTGCATATTGGGGCTGAACATCCGATTGTGAAGAATGTGGTACTGCACATTGGAACAAATGATGTTGTGAAACAACAGTCAGAAGTGCTGAAAGAAGACTTTAAATGTTTGTTGGAAACTGCCAGCTCTCTAAATGCAGAGGTGTTCATCAGTGGCCCTCTACCGCCAGTCAGAAGAGGAGTGGAGAGATTCAGCAGATTGTTT